CCCCAATTTGGTCCCTGAGCTATTATTTAACAGAAGGACCAAGTTGGGGTTAAATTGGTAAACAATAGGGACCAAATTGGGCATCCGTACAATAGTTTAGGAACTAACTTGGGAGTCTGTACAATAGTTCAAGGACCAAATTAAGAATTTTTTTAGTTTAGGGACCAAATTGAAGGTCCGTACAATAGTTTAGGGACCAAAATAGGGGTTTAACCAAGAAAAAAATACAACTGATCACAAAGGTGAGAGTGTTTACAAACATATAAAAAGACTATTCCTACAGAAGTAAAATTTTTTAAGTATATTTAATATTTTAATAATAATTAAATTTTATAGTGTTTGTATCGAAATTCTCTACTCCTTACCTTAAATTATACTGGCAAAACCATAAGTTAAGCCCCTGAACTAACCCCAGAATCGCTATTAAGCCCCTAGACTTTAATTAATGCAGTTAAGCCCTTGAACTCTGGGATCAAAGCAATTAAGCCCTTCTTCTTAAGCAATTAAGCCCTTCTTGCCAATTTTTTAAAATTAATTGTTCTAAAAAAAATTTAAAGATGCACTCTTATTAACTTTGTAAATTTAAAGAAATTAATTTTTTAGCTAAAGCTATAAAAAGACAATAATACCCTCAATAAATCATGGATGTTATTCTCATCTATTTTTTAGTTTGCATTGATTATTTGTTTGTTGGTAAAACACATTTTTGTTTATATAGTTAAAAGATACTGTGAAAAGTATTTATACATGCATTTGAAAATATTTTAATGGAAAAAATCAAATTTATTAGAAAGAGAGCATGAATTCTCATCAAAAAATTTTTGTTCGGTCAAACATCATATTATAAATCTAATTTAATTTCTTAAAAAATTAGCATTGACTTGAGTCATGAGAAACATGTGAACTTGTCCAAAACTCAAGGGTAGAGCTCAATTATAAATAGTAGAGATGCTTTAGACTCAATTCAAGCCAGCTTCTCTTCCTCTCCTCCTCAATCTTCTTCTCTTAACTACTTTGTAACTTGTTAAATTAGCCATGGCTTCCAACAAGTTTAAGTTTTTATTCGGGTTGATTTTGCTTCTTATAGCCACTGCCTCAGCTCAGTTGTCCTCGGACTTTTACGCGACAACATGCCCCAGTGCACTTGCCACCATTAAATCAGCAGTGGCAACCGCAGTCAAGAAAGAGGCTCGCATGGGAGCTTCCTTGCTTCGTCTTCACTTCCACGACTGCTTTGTTAATGCAAGTCACCTTTTCATTCTTCTCACTTATTCGTTTGCTAAATTCTTATTTCTACCTTAATTACAGCAAATTTATTTGCAACCAGTTCACATGCATTTATTTCTGTATATACTGACGTTTCGCAATTTTGCATATATTTGTGATTGTACTAAACTAAAATGTGTTCATGATTATACATGTAAATGTGGAGAGATTTGAACAAATGACTTTTTTTCTTTTTTTTTTTTGTACTAATCCTCAATATCAAGCAATCACATTGGATTTTAATTAATTTATAATTAAGTTAGATTAAATTCCATAAAGATAATCTCTCTCAACATCTGTTTTTTTATTCAAAAGACTTGAATTTGAAATATTATTTAAGTAGAACAGAGTTCTTTTCGTTTGGATCAACATATTATTAATAACAAAAAACTTTCTAACATGTTCTGTATTAGGTATCATTAACTATTGAACTAATGATTAATTACTTACAAACAATATTTCTTTTTTTTTTTTCTATATACATCAGGATATAACCTGCACCTAACCTAGATCAATTAGCTATAAATCCAACGAAAGGCGCACCTCATAATCTTAGATGTTGGACTCAAATTCTATCCCTCTTTAAATTTATACTTGTTCAATAATATATATCATGATATGACCTTTGCATAAGATTCTTAATCTTGATATGTACCGAAAATGCTAAATTACGGATACAATAAAGTTAGATAGGACATGTGCTACTGTTTTAATCTACACACGGATGTTTTTTTTTTGTAGGGCATTTTATACGTACTAAGAATACATGTAATTGTATGTAATTTTTATATTATGTGAAAGTAACATAATCTTACAATGCAACAGGGATGTGATGCATCCATCCTCTTGGACGATACTGCAAATTTTACGGGTGAAAAGAGCGCCACGCCAAATGCCAATTCAGTGAGGGGATTTGCTGTAATAGACATCATCAAATCTCAATTAGAGGACCTATGCCCTGGTGTCGTCTCCTGTGCTGATATATTAGCAGTCGCTGCTCGTGACTCCATTGTTGCTGTAAGAAAGAAACAACAATGAACATTAGTTTTATGTTTTGTAATCTAACATTACTAAAAGTTTCAAGTTTTTTAGTTTAAATTGTAAAAACAAAAATTATTAGATAAAGAGTAGTTTAAATTCTAATACCATAGTCCATCCTTTTTAATAGTTTATGTTTTGCAATCCCAATCAAATTGCACAACCCTTTTTTATGTTACTAATCCTGATTACTAAATTTGCTTTCGAATTACTATTGTTTTGGTACTTCGATAATGATCTTTAGATTTTTTTTTTTTATCAGCTTGGCGGACCAAGTTGGACTGTTCTTCTGGGAAGAAGAGATTCAACCACAGCAAGCCTAAGTGCTGTTGATTCCAACATCCCCTCCCCATTCCGAAGTCTTATTCCCCAGCTCTATTTCTTCACCAACAAAGGTTTCACAGCTAAGGAAACGATAACTCTTTTAGGTGAGCTATTTTTAAACCTTCTAATATAAATATTTAAATCTTAAACCTTAAAGTCAATTAGTATAGGCCAACTTAATTAAACATACAGTATTAACAATTAACTTAATTGAATTTTAGGATCGCACACAATTGGACAAGCAAGGTGCACAATGTTCCGAACACGTATCTACAACGATACCAACATTGATCCCACCTTTGCCACATCACTACGGCAAAATTGTCCGACCACCGGGGGAGACAACAACCTTGCTCCTCTAGACACTACAAGTCCAACATCATTTGACAATGCATACTTTAAGAATTTGTTGAACGAGAAAGGACTTTTGCTTGTCGATCAGCAGCTCGTTAATGAACCCACCATATACTCTCAAATCACTGAATACAGCAACAACGAGGAAGCCTTCAGGACAGACTTTGCGAATGCAATGGTAAACATGGGGAGTCTTGAGTCCACTCACGGGCTCAGATGCACAAATAAGGAAAAAATATAAAAACCTCTCTACCTATTTTCTTCCCCCTCTTTCTTCCTCTTTCTTCTAGCGGGGGAAGAAAATAGGTGGAGAGGTTTTTTATTTTTATTAAATATATAAAAATTTATCTACATATTATTTTAATTATTCATGTCATCATTATTTTTAATTAGATGATTTATGTTATTATTTTTTTCAGTTATATTATATAGGTTATAAAAAAAATATAAAAAATGCCATATTAATGAAGTTAACGGTTTAAACTGACGAAAGTATCAAAATTATACAGTTGTTAAAGTTAAAAGATTAAAAAAGTGTAAAAAATAGTTTAAGGACCACAAAAGTGCAAAAAATAGTTTAAAGACCAAAAAAATATAACTTAATAAAGTTGAAGGATAAAAAAGTGCAATTTAATGAAGTTAAGGGACAAAAACTGAAATTTAATGAAGTTGAGAGACAAAAAGGTGCAACTTAATGAAGTTGAGGGACCAAAATTAGAATTTAATCAATTTTTTTCAAGTGGCGGGTGTGAAGTGTGACGGAACATTAACGGAATAATAGGAGATTTGACCGGAAGTGAGTTTCCGTACAATTGGGACTTTATTTGAGAATTTCGTGGAGTTCGGGACCTTCATTGAGTGCAATCGAAGTTTGGGTCTAAAATTGCGAATTTGGTGTAAGTTTGGGTCCTTATGTCATATTTTTGCCATGCAAAAGGCCCCCTTTTGCTTCTGATGACATCATAAACTGTCAGCATTCCATTTCCCCTTCCGTCACTCCGTTAAGCCTTGCTAATTATGTGGAGCTAAGTTGGAAAAAAAATTTGTTTGTGTCCAGCAAGTGGACTTCGCACCATTTTATCAAAAATAATTTAATTAAACAATAAACTGAAAAAGACAATGAAAATATAGGGAAAATTGCATAAGCTCGTTCTCCACTTCTCCCCCTGTAAATGGATGTCAATCGTTGCTTCCGAATGCCTGAACTGTGTTTCATTTTTATCCAAATTTTAGATTTGAAAAGAAGGAGTGGGTTCTAATATTCGCAAATTCTTGGCTTTCCTCGGCGGCATCATTAGCGCCTCTTTCTTCACTCACAATAGACATCTCTTCATCCTCAATCTCCATTTCCGTCTTGAATCTCAAGTAAATCACATTATTCCTTCATTTTTTCTGGTTTGATTTTCCTAATTTGTTTTCAAATCGAGAATATACTAGGCCATAACCCAAAATCCCTACTTGAAAATTAAAATCTCTTATGGTTTCTCTCTCTTTGATTCTCTAGATCTACAACCTAGACGGACCAACAAGAAGCAGAGGTGAAATTTTCAAAAGGCTTCAGCGTGTATGTGTTTCAGAGCCGTAGATTGACAGAAAGGACCGGGCTTGTGCCAAGTACATCGGCAGTTTGGATTGGCCGGCGGCCGGAGGTAAGGTGGAAGTGAGATGAGGCTTCTTGCAGAGAAAAGAAGACGTTT